AATCTGTAGTGATTTTTAAGGTAATTGCTACTTTAGCATAGTTAAAGAGTTAAAGAAGAGATAGCTCCAGTTAAGGATCTTTTAAAAAATAAATAATGTCTGCCTCTTCATCAAGCTTCAGAGGTTGACAACTTGAAGGGGAAACTTTACTAGAAATCTAAGTCTAATTTATAAGTTTGTCTTGCCTGAAGTATTCACTGTTCACTATTCACTGTTGCTATTCACCTATGAAACATAGGTGAATAGCAACTCAATACTTCAGGGTAGTTGTCCCAGGTGGAGTTGAGGATTTGATTCATGCCATGCAGATGTTTATGCATAATCTATATGACTTCACTACAGCTCTTTAGGTCATTATACTAAGAGGAGTTGGCAAAAGTTTTTTGTTTTATAAGGAGGGCCCTGCTGGGTCAGATCAAAGGCCTGTCTAATCCAGTATCCTTTCGTCCCAGTGGCCAGCCAGATGGGCGGGGTATAAATAAATTTATCTTTTTAAATTATTATTATTATTAGTCCCAAAGCAGGGCATGAGTGCAATAGCACTAGCCTGCTGTATTTATCTTTTCAGGAGGAAGAGCGAAGGCACAAGGAGCAAATGCAGAAAAAACGGGAAGAAGAGGAACAAGAAAAGGCTAGAAAGATTGCAGAGCAGCATCAGTTGGAACTAGAAAGGGAGAGAAAGCTGTGTGCTGAGAGAGAACTAGAGAAGAGGCGAGAACAGGAGAGGCTCCAAGCACAGCGGTAAGAACAGAATGACTGAGCAACCCACTTGAGAAGGCTTCCAGTCACTCAGCACAGCCAGTCCATATAGGGCAGAGTGAAGACTTGCTCCTCCTGGTCTGCTGCTGATGCCCTGCCCCCTTCAAAGGCTAATACTGGCCAGTTTAAATTTTTTAAAAATGGCAGACAATCCCATCATCCCCCACTGCCAGTCATAGCTGAAGCCAGCAGCTAGCACCAAAGGGAGGATGGGGCTGCTCTCCCACCCCCAAGGGAGCTGGGCCAGGCCGCAACAGTCGCCCACCCCAGGAAAGGGTAGGTGTTCTGTTCACCAATCTAAAAAATATGGCTGTGGATGAAGCTGTGAGGGGGGAATGATGTGAGCCCCAAGGTGTATTCCACAGGCTGTTGGGAGTGCTGCTCAAGCTAATGCTGTGTGTACAGGTCATGCTTAAGGTCATGATCCCCTTCTTTCTTTGGATTGTAATGAAGTGTCTTTTGTCTGCAAGGGAGCATGAGCAGAAAGAGAAGGAGAAGGCTGCTCGGCTGCATAAAGAGGTTTTAGCAGCAGCCAAAGAGAAGGAGCGACTCAGAAAAGAGTTAGAGGAAAAGGAGAGGAAATTGGTAAGTGGCTCTCATGTTTCTATCACATGAATATATTCCTTATACTAAAAGGTATGTTTTCAGCTCCCCAAATCTGGGTCCGGTTGCTTTAGGGGAAATTTAAATTGGCAGACCCTGTATGCTTCTTCCTGGAGTGCACTGTGTCATCAAGTGTAGGGTGGGAGCAGTGACCTATCAACAGCACTGTGTGGCCTTTTTGTGTTTTAGCAGGAACAGCGGCAACAAGAAGAGAAGCGAGAGAAAGCTGCTTCTGAGGCTGAGGCCAAGGCTTCCAGCAAACAGCTGAATACAACAGTGGTTATCGAGGTGAGCTACAAACCACAGATCAGGCATTGAAAGGAGTAATGATGGCCCTGTTGACTTGCTCTATAAGAGAGCATGTGCTGCAATGCACAGGCTTACCCACAGAGGCACATTACCTTCAGTGTGCCTTGAGGCCACTTAATAAAGGCTTTGAACATAAAGTCCCACACATGTTGTTCTGACCCAGTTATTTCCAAGTCTGCCTTCTGCAACCTGGAGCACTAGATTGACTGCAGCTCCCATGACAGGAGTTGTAGTCCAAACACCTGGAGGGCACAAGATTGGGGAAGGCTGCTCTTAAGTGAACAGCTACATTAAATGGAGCAATATATCTTAAACCCTGAAAAGGGCAGCATGCCAAAATCATATACTTTTCTGTAAACTTTTATTGCAAAATATTGAAGTGCTGCTCCCCACTTTGTATGTGTGTGGGGGGGTTTCTTTTGTTGCTGACCCTATTTCCCCTTCTTGGTAAACTTACTGCATACATGTGAGAATTTTGAGAATCTTACCATCTCTTCTCCCTCACCCCCTTGGATTTCGTAGGCAGAGACATAACTTGAAAGTGCAGTGGCAGAATTTAAAACATACACTCCAATTAAAGGAGGAAGTTGTGAATGAGGAAGAATATTTAGACACATGTTACACATTGGAGAATACGTACAGATCTGTTGGCAAGTGGGGTTTGCTATAGTTGGTGTGAAAAATAAACTGTTAATGATAACTGGAATTTGGAATTTTTGCTTTGGACCGTCAGCTTCTTGCTGGTTGACAGATGGTTATCTCAAAGGAGAATGCTGTACTGTATAAAAGAAGGCACCTTTAAAAAATATTGATGTGGCCATTGTAAGAAAAGTTGTGCTTCTTTAACTTTGAAAAGAGATTTGTTGCTGGTGGAACGAGAGATCAGAGGGCCTAGGGCATGATTGGTTTCAGTGTGTTTTAATTGAGGGGGGGCATGCTGCTGGGTGAAGTTAGCCATATTGACTCGTAGTTTGTCAGGTGTTGGTGATTCATCATGCTCTTCTGATAGAATAAGTTCTTTCCTAAAAGGCTGTATTGAGATTGTAGCGCCGAGCAACAACACTAAGTTGGTAAAGCATGAGACTCTTAATCTCAAGGTTGTGGGTTCAAGCTCCATGTTGGGCAAAAGATTCCTGCATTGCAGGGGTTTGGACTAGATGACCCTTGTGGGTCCTTCCAACTCTACAATTCCGTGATTGTAACTTTGCCGGCAAAATCTGGTTCTATACCCAGTGACTTAGCTCTCCCCTCATCTTCTTTCCAGAACTCTACTAGCTGTAATTCCTACCCGATGACACCACAAGGCCCTAAACAGCCCAAGATTGATGTGAATAATTATGGAATGGATTTGAACAGTGATGATTCAACAGATGATGAGAGTCAACCCCGCAAACCCATACCTGCTTGGGCTACTGGTTTGTTTGAATCCTTTATAGTTGAGCTTTCCTTATGTTACTGTATGGAATGGGCTGCTTTAAGGTGTGATGGTGAAGGTGCAAAGACCACTAGCTTTTCCTCCATGAATTTGTCTATCTGCTGCTATTAGTCATGATAGCGGAATGGAACTTGTGTGTTCAGAAGCAGCATGCCCCTGAATACTAGGTTTAAAGGAGGAAGAGGCATTTAGCTGGCCACTGGATGCTGAGATAGACAAACCTTTAGTCTGACCAAGCTTGCAATGCTGTCTACTTAAGGTTTATGCTCAAGTACTTGAGTGTTTATTAATATCTTTGTTCTCGGGGGGGATAACTTTTTTCAGACTTCCAGCCTGCAACTTAGGAAAGTGCTAGGAATCAGGTGTTGGTACTTCCAAGTCGTTTGAGAATATATAGTACATCATTGTCTTATTTATTTATTTATTTATTTATTTACTTGCTTGCTTGCTTGCTTTACTTACTTACTTACTTACTTACTTACCTTTTTATTATAACAGTAAGCTCACCACTTATGCACATTTAACTTAAGTGCATTCAGCTTTATACGCATCACAATTTAAAAAAATTAGAAAGGGGGCAGGGTTCTAGGGAAATGACACTGGCAATCCCACCCAGGATTTAACCTAATGTGTTTTGACTAGATGCAATTTTGGCTTTAGGGATGTAACGCTCGCATAAGTTGTGGGCTTACTGTATAGAACACATTATAAAAATTACATCCCTGTATTGATGCCCAGTATTTCTGTTCTGTAAAGCCAAGTCTGGGATATAATGAAATGGCACCTTTTAAAAAAAAAAAAAAAGACTATTCAGTCCATGCTGGCCTTTTTGAAAAAAATGGACTGTGCTAATGGAAAGTTTTTCACAAGAGCAGCGGACCGTTGCCAGTTGCGAGAAACCATAGTGCTTGAATCCTATTTGCTGGTTTCCCTTAGGCATCTGTTCACTGTGAGAACAAAATGTTGGACAAGATGGGCCATTAGCCTGATCCAGCAGGCTCTTAGGTTCATTGGATGCAACCTACTATCTTTGAGTTGAGTGCTTCATGAGCATTATTAATGGCACCTAAAACTTGGTTAATTGGCTTCAACTGACTGTACGCTGTTCTTCTTTCCCTTAGGAAATCTACTAAGCCAGGCAATCATACATCAGTATTACAAACCACTTGACACCACTGCCCTCTTTGGAGTTGTGAAGAGCCCTAAACTAGAAGAAATATTCAAGAAGAGCAAGCCGCGTTACTTCAAACGCACCAGTTCTGCAGTGTGGAACTCTCCACCATTCCCAGGTGGCAGAAATGTACCATATGCTTTAAAGATATGATGCTTTCTAGATCTCATGGATGTGTGGTATTTTTGTTCAAGAAGTTTATTTCTGTTTTAAATGTTGAGTCCCTTTTTTCTTGTTTATATTAATAAATGTTGCACTTCTAAGGCAGTTTTTGTCTCTGTGATGGGGAAAAGAGAGTACAGATTGCCAGCTGAAATTGGCAAGGATGAGTGAAAATCATTTGGCCTATATTTAACTAACTGAACTGCTAGGAAGAGTCTGCGTGGTATAGTAGTTAATATATCATGCTGAGAGTGAGGAATTATAGGTTCAGATCTCTGAATGCCAGTTTATAATTTAAAGGAAACTCCTAAGTCTAATGGCCCGAGCTAGATAGAATCAAGCTGCTGATACCATGATAGATGATGCTCTGAGGCATTTCCCAAAGGAGATTATTATCTACATAAGTTCCACTTGACAAATTTTGACAGTCATTATTGCATTCTGTGCAAGGCCTTGTTACTATTTTAGAAGAACCTGTAAAAGTAAAAAATTTAAAAGGTGAAATGAAGAACAGGTTATCTTATCAGAAGAAATTGATGTGGAATTGACGTGCATTCTAGACGTACTCCTTTTTAGCTTTCCTGTGTCACAATTTAATTACACCTTTTTGTAAATATGATCACACTTATGTATTTAATGATAATTGGGGTTTTCTTGCTGCATGAGGCTAAAGATGGAGAAGACAACAAACTGGAAAGGAGAATTCTGTTTGTCACCAGCAGAATGAACAAGGTTAGGGAACAAGGTTGAAGAAATGTGAACATGTGCCCATATACTAATCATAAATCTCTAAACAAAATTTAAATCAAATACAGATAATCAAACTACCATTTTAACAGATTAGACAACCACTAATTAACTTTATTAGAAAAAAGCAAACCCACCGTCCCCATGTTGTAGGCCTATAAGCTTATTTGTATTCTAAAGTTATGCTGCTTCAATTTTCTAATCCTGCTTCGTTTATCAGCTTCCAGGTACCTCTTCAAATCATCGTTATTTTGTAGATCAAGCTCTCGCAGAGACTGGTTTGTTTTGAGAGCTGCCAAAAAGGCTTCCCAGCATGCCTCTGTCAGTCCACACGAATCCAACCTAGATAAAAGTTCATAAGGAAAGGGTTGCTTGTAAATGAAAACCACCAAGTTCAAAATATATTGCAAATAACTCTCAGAAGGACAGTTGTCCTAGATGACTTTGCATTCTTCTAACTGAAGTCTTGACTGATTTGCTTCTATTGTAATTAAGCTTCTCATAAGCTATTGGCCTATTGTTTTCAGTCCACCTTTGCTATCTAAATGTGAGACCCTGCAAAGATATCCAAGATGATCGCTCTTCCCACTGTAATGGTTTCCTTGAAACTAGTCACTTAAAAATCAAGTGTTAAAAACAAATGAACATAAAATGCAGTAACAGAATCAGTTAAGGAATAACAATAAAAATACATGTTAAAACCCTTCAAGAAAATGGTTCCGAACTCTTGAGGGTTTCATATACTTATAATCTGCCCCAGTAATAAAGTAGTAGCCAGTGCAGCACTCCAAACAGATGTAATATGATGACAGGGTGTCATTCTTGTTAGTGCAGAATGCAGCAGCAGTAGTAATTTTATTATTTATACCCTGCCCATCTGGCTGGGTTGCCCCAGCCATCCTGGGAGGCTGCCAACACATATAAAAGCATAATAGCCTGATTGCTAACTGCAGTTTGATGAATGACACTCCAAGCCACAGAAACCATGTGGCCTCTAGTGAAAAATGTTGATCCAGAAGTACACCAGATTATATCTGCTTGTTTAGGGAGAGTGCAGCTTTGTCCAAGGCAATTGGTCTACTTTTTCAGACACAAACCATTCACTCACAGCCCCTCCATTCAAGCTTGGTTTCTTTTCTCCCGTTCAGACCACCACAGTGTCCAAACATGGCAGGGATCTGCATTGTTCTCCTGATACTATGGATAAATAGACCTGGGTGCTTTAGCATACTGATGGCACCATGCCCCAAATCTTCTAAAATCTGTTGGAAGCAATTCTCATCCAAACTTGGTGTACAGCTGATAATCAATATCTTATTCCCAATGTAGTTATGAACCACTTTGTCAAAGGTTCCCATCACTGTTCAATTTGCTTTTAACATCCCTATGATATTTCAAATACTTTAAAACAAGTACCTTAGCGAAACTATTTTGCAATTTGGATGTTGAAGGCCTTCGCATAAGAGCTGCACGCCAGCCTCTCCCATTTCTTCATTATGGCCTAGAGACAGCTCTAGCAGGGACTGGTTTTTACAGAGAACAGAAGCAAGATTCACACAGCAAGCAGCAGTGAGATTGCAACCAAGCAAGCTGTTCAAAGAGATGAAAAATCCACTACAAAGTTATTTACATGGAAGAAGCTTAACAGGCTTTAAGTCCAGCGGCAGAATATTTTTACAATATCTGCCTTTACATGGTCTATAACTTATTGCAACGAAAATAAAATGAGTCCTGTAGAAAAAAGGTCACTTTATGTACTCATTGAGGACACCCCCCACCCAAGATTTGAGACTTTGCATCCAATTTGCCTCTGATTGCAATCAGCCATTAGTCACTTACCTGAGTACCTGCAGTTGGCAGTCTGGATGCATCAACATTTGGCAGAGCTCTATTAGTCCAGCATCCCCTATATTGTTAAAGTCCAAATAAAGCATTCTCAGGTTCTGGTTTTTAGGAACAATAGAGGCTAGTTTCTCACATGACTTGGGGCTGAGGTTACAGCAACGTAATCTGAAAGGGTTAAGTGTTCAAGAGGAATTAATGATGACAATGTATTCAGTAAGTTGACTGTGTTTCAAATGTAGGTCACATTTTTTTTAAAAAAAAGTAGAAGTCCCATTATCTTTGGCATTTTCCTTATCCATAGTGCTTTGTTTCCTTTGTCCTCAGAAAGTGCATTAGAGATGGGCTGACTAGCACAGTGAGCAATATTCTAGATGTGGTTGCTATGCCAAATACTTATATAACAGTATAGATATTTACTAATGTGTTTTAATTTATTTCTTATTCCAACCACTGAGTTTGCCATCACATTGACTATCCACTTACCCTCCAGGGACTCAGAAATATAGATCAGTGGCATGGAGTTTTGCAGTGTCAGGACTTGGGGCAGAACATCACAGACTACAACTATGTCTTCCAACCAGGCTGGGTATCCTTTGGCACAAGAAGGCCATTTTGGATAGCATCCCTCGCAAGTGTAACCCAGGTTCTGCCCTTACGATTTTGATAAAAGGCACCTATGAGCACTCACCTCAGTGTCTGCAGTTTGCAGTTGGGATGCTTGAGTGCTTGACAGAGTTTGATCACTCCCACTTCTCCTAGGTCGCTTTGCTGTAAGTTGAATTCTCTGATGTGTTGATTCATGGTGAGGACAGAGGTAAGAATGTCAAAGGAAGCAGCTCTGAGATTACATCGCTTAAAACTGAGGAAGAAATAGGGAGTCAGTCTTCCCTTTCCCAACTCTTTGCAACTTCTTTGGGATAAGCTTTTAGACTGTAGGAGCCAGAGAGAAGAAACACCATGATGCATCTGCAGCAGCGCAACCAGATGCCTTCATCTGCTGCAACAAAGCACGTCTCTTCTGCATTGGTCTCTCTACAGCAGGCACTGCAACCATCCAACAGCTTGACCTCTCCCCCAAAAGTACACTCCTCCATTGTCTCCCGAGATAGATGGGTGCCAACAGGAAGTGAATCATACTAAGGCCCACGCCTATACTTTTGACTTTTAACTAATTTGACATGGATTGGCAGCCCCTGATAACAGACTTCTCCTTTTTTAAATCAGCTTTGGAAATGCAGTCTACTCATTTCAGTAGTGACTTTAACTATTCATGTGATCATCAACAGAATCTCCTTGCACATCAAGGGAAAAGGCCAGGCTGCCTAGCCCTATCCATTAGCCAGAGATGGGGCAGCTGCAGGGAGCTGGCTTCCCCCCTCCCTCCTCAAAAGACTCTTCTACTCCAACTTCCCACTGCCTTCATATACCAGAATGTCACACCTTCCAGTCCTCTAGATTTGACTTGCTGCACATTTGTCCAAAAAGTTGGCTGCTGCTATCTCCAATCAATAAAAAGGCCTTTACAATGGATGCTACTTTAAATGACCTAAAGCTGCAAACCTAAGAAAAACTATTCCTATCCAAGGTAACAGTTGCCTACAGCAACCCTAGACTTCTATATGGTCTCATATATATTATTTTTAAAATTGCATTTATTTCCTGCCTTAATGGTGTAAAATAGAGAGCCATGTACACCACCTTCAATGCCTCCCTCCACTCTCAGACTCTGTCCGTTGAAGATGAAGGGCTGAAGGGACATTCCAATTGCATTCAGCAGAACATACTGAAAGGTGGGAACCCTAGTAATACAAGCTTCCAGATCCTGAGGACGCTTCCAGCTGAACAGGCTTAGAATCTCCATACAGTCCTGTGGAGAGATGCTGGGGTGGGAGTAGTATGCACAGCCCTCCCAGTCCCTACCCAGTTTGTGCCCTCGGGCATTTGGCTGAGCCCCCGACAGGGCTGAGGGCATCTGGGCCCTGGGCATGCCAACGGAAAGCTGCGTGAGATGAACTAAGGCAGAGTTGCACAGGACATGAAAGAACAAAAGTATCATTGCCAGCTACCTACCAGATCTCTCTTACGTTACACCTTGGATCCTTCAGTCCTTCAAATAGGAGAGGCAGGTTTTCATCCACTCTTCCATTAAAATATAAGCTAAACAAAATAGAAAACTGTGTGTTGGATATGCTATGCAATTGGATCATACAGCCGCAGCAGACAACGTTGCATCATGACCTGTGAAGTTGTAGGGTGTGTTTTACACAACTCCTCCAGGGCACAGAGACAAGATTGCTGATCAAGAGTAATTTTTAGCCCTAGAGGATAAATGTTGACATATGTGCTCATTCTGGGTGAAATCACTTCTGAAAGGTTGGCATAGCCATAAGCAACAGAAAGGCACATTTTCGAATATGAAAAGTCAAATTCACATTGAGCGAAACTTTCCCTTGATAACCAAAACTAGGACTCTTTCATGAAGTATGCACCAGCAAAGCTGGGTTTGCCACCAAGTATATGCTCAAAAGGGAGTGATGGCCATGAATGAACATGTACAATATAAATGTTTGCAAATACGTGTTTGTTGCATTCAGTTTGAGCTTTAGCAACTAAAATTTTATGTGCTCTGGCTTAACAAAATGGGCTCTTTGGAAAAATCTGTGCCCTAGATTCACTGCTACCCATGCTCTAGTACCCTTGAATATACCTACATACAACATAGAATCTTAGATCTGGAACATTATTTGGCTTTCAGAGAATTACACCTTTTCTTAATTTTTTTTTTTAAACCACCTATATATTTAATCATAATCTACTATGAGGTTGCCATTGCATGGGCCATAGTGGTCAGAATATCCCAGGAAAGGGCATAATTAAATGGACCAAAGTTTTGGTTTGCACTTTAGCTAAAAACAAAAACCCTGAACTGATCTGAACAGTGTCTTCTGATGGGTTCACATACCTTGACAAAAAAAGTAGATATCCAAGATGGAAGGACTGTTCTTTACGACAGTGTCTCAGGCAAAATGAAATAACCAGAGAGTTGAATGCGTTCCCTAGGCAGTTATCATACAGCTTAATCTCAGGGATACAATCCATTGCTCTTCCCACAAACTCTTCTTCTTGAATTTCATATAAGCAACAGAATATCTCAGATTGCTTTTGACAGCTCTTTGATGCCACCTCAGCTTCGATCCAGTCCAAAAGCACTTGTTTCGTTTCTGAACAAATTTTACAGCCTAAACTTTTCTCTATTGTTTTCTTCCTTTTCTCATTTAAAAGACCAAACAGAAAGCGGACTGTCAACACTAAGTACTCATTTCCACCCTCTCCAAAATCTTTTAGCAACTTTCTCACGTCTTCATAAGTACAATCTGATTCGCCGGCCATTTCTGGTATTTCCTCTAGCACGTAGGACAAGGCTGCAAAAAAACTCTTGGAAACTTAAGTGGATGAAGCTGTAGGCAGATTGGCAATCAATATCTTGCTGGAAGAGTTTCTTGTGAAGGAAGAGTGACCGGATGTCAGCCTCCTTTAAGCCATGTTTTTGGAGGTCGTCATCCTCAAAGAGTATTTTCCTTGTCAAGACTCCTTCTCTGGCTAAGAGACAAAGGTTTTGGAAATGTTTCTGTTTACCTCTTTCCAACACTGGACTGTGATCTCTGAGTAAGCTAGTTAAATAAAACATGTATACACAGGTAGTTGTTTTTGAAGTCTGCACGAGATCTTCTCCTCTATCCATCTGTTGCTTCATCACAGTGCAGATGATCCAACACACAATGGGGACAAAGCACATGGTGAAGAGCATCTCATTTGCTTTCACAACCCCAAAAGCTTGTACCGCTTGCCTCTCATTCCCAAAATACTTGTGGAAATACTCTTCCCTGTCCTTCTCAGAAAACCCCAGGATCTCTATGTAGCGGGGATACTTCAGACACTTCTGCAGTTGCTCCAGAGCAATTGGCCTTGTAGTGATGATTAAATATGATTTGGGAAGAATGCTTTTCCTGACTAAACTTCTCAGTACAACTTTCACCGGCTTCTTTTGACTAGGATCGAAACACAGATGTTCCTCGTTGGATTCTAAGGAAAATTTCAGTTCATCAAGACCGTCGATTATGAACAGGAGCCTCTCTGGGCTTGCAAAAATATCTTCCAGGGGAGCATTTCTCTCAGGACAGTTCCAAAAGATTAAATCAATCAGACTCTGCTGCTCAGTCATCAAGTTAATTTCTCTGCAGTTTATGTAGAATGCATAATCAAACTTGCCTTGGTAGAGTTTGCCAACTGCCCAGTCCAACATAATCTTCCTCGCTGTCATTGTTTTTCCAATCCCAGCAGGCCCTTGGAGCACAACAGTTCTAGGGTTCACTCTGTTATCATCGGGATCAAATAAAGCCGCAATACTACCTGGACTGGCTTGCTTGCCCATCATGTTGGCATGTTTCCTTCCTGTGGACATAATTTCATGCTGCTTCTCTTCCAGCAGGCAATGTTTCTGAATGATCAAGAGTTGGGTGTATCTTCTGTTTAGGTTCACCCATTGACCAAGGAGGGCATTTTTGTCTTGAATTACTTGATATTCTTCCCATACATATTCTCTGTATTTAATCCTGTAATCTAATAACAAGAAAGAAAGCACTGGGGGAGAGTACATGAAACAATGCAAACGAAACGTTTAATGATACAGTTCTCAGGAGTAGACTTTTGATCTTGGTTTGGGCTTCCCGCAAATGGACTCCCCCCCCCCCCACAGACACAGACATCCACAGAGGTAAAATGCTCCATTTGGATGAAGTGGTTTGAATTAAAACAGATTTCGAAGAGCTTCCCTGTAATCACAGATCAGCTACTCAGGAATGTCAGCAACTCAGGAACATTAAGTTCTTGATTATTCATCTGTGCCTGTCCCACACCTGACATCACATAGAAAACAAATTGATTATTCATCTGTGCCTGTCCCACACCTGACATCACATGGAAAACAAATTGGGACCCTACTGAGGCTCGTGGATGCTGGGCTAGATACTGGACTCAGATCCAAGACGCTTGTGCGCTCAAGCCCTAACAAAGGAATTGCCAACATATTACCTTCCTGATGCTGTTGCCAGCACAGTTAATTGTCAGGGATGATGGGAATTGTGATCCATCATCTGGAGGGCTACAGATTCTCCACTCCAGCCCTAATACCTTACTGTGGCTGGAGTCTCTGTACAGGGCTAGAAGGTGGGGTTAGATGCCTAGAAGGTGGGGTTAGATGCCTTGTTTACCTGGATTGCAGTGGCAGGCAGGCAAGTCCTGAGAGGCTGCATGTAGGTGTGGTCAGGGTGTGACCCATTATTGAAATGGACTGCTGGACTAGGTGGGCTTTTGCTATGGTTCAGCGAAGGCCTGCCCTGCCCTTATATTTCTATGGTCTGCTTGTACACAGGGAGGAAGGCCTCAGCACTCTACCCTCCGTATGCAAACAGGACTCTAGATCATTTCCATAGAAAGGAGTGCTGCTGCCCTGTATATATATATTGTGCAAGACCATGTTCACCACTTTAATGGAATAGCAACTGTTAAGTTGTGGGTGAACATATCAGATGACACAGCGATTCTTCCAAAACAGCTCTTTATTTGTAAGCTGGAACAGAACTAACTGAGGAGCTCAGTCAGCCTGCTTATATAGAGCTCCAGAACAATTGTAACTGTTGCAACTTTCTAAAACTATCCAATCACAGAACGTCACTTTTCGATCCTTCATTTACATACAAACTATCCAATCACAGAACGTTACTTTCGATCCTTCATTTGCATAACTATCTACAGTATCCCCCTGCTGGCCCAGGGTGAGAACATCAGTACATAACAGCAACCACCCAGATCCAACACCCAAAATCATGTGCATTCAGCAGCTCTCTCAAAATACTTTCAAGTGAATCAGATTTGCTAAGGTGTTAAACCCAAACTTCTAAGGCTTTGATAAGAGGAATGACCTGCTGTGGGTTTTATGTACCTTTTGGTGATATCTCCAGTGCTTTCTGACCGGACACCAAACCTGAAAGGAGAATTGAAATTGTTCTTAGAATACCTGTTTAGTTTAGTGTAATCTGACACATGTATATTATTCACAGAGGGACACCTGATGGCCCAAAGAAGGATTATCTCAAAATGCATTGGGCTTGAAATAAATCTTTCTTCAAGCATCTGGAGTTTCTTCCTTTCTCTGCCCCCTAGCTTAGGCTAAAAGACAATGTATTCCCCAAAGCTATCTGGTAAATGTAATAGTTGAGTCCAACTGAGTTTCTCACATACAAATTCAATGTTGCAACCATTGCAGTGGTGTGCTGTAGTAGATAATTCTGAGCAAGTTTGCCAGACTCGATAAGTGTAAACTCTTTGTACATAATCATTTCATAACTCTTTTCTAGAAGACACTTGCACTCTGGACAGAAGTGGTAAGTAGAGCTAGTTGGATCACCTGTGTTAAGCACAGCTTGTTCATGGCTGCTTTTTGTTCCATCTGGAGATGCATGGAGGGATATGAGTCGCAGGTTTTCTCAGAGTCCCTTACCTTTCTCTTTCTCTTTTCTGAGTTTAGCAGCAGACTGTTTCTGATTAATATCCGAGAGCACTTGTATGGTTACATCTATTGCATCATCTCTACCATAAAACTTGAGCAGGAGATTCTTGGTATCTACCCTGTCCGCGTTCTCTAGCCAACTTCGGGGAATTATGAAATGCTTTCCTTCGAGGTCTGAATAGGAGAGCTTGTCTTTAAACCTTTTGAAGTCTTCCTGAGAAAGGTCATCGAGCACAAGTAACAGCAGGTCACTGATTCGGCTGCTCTTGTTTCCCATCATTAAGCATCAAAGAACTAAACTGAAATATAAAGAAGAAGCAAAGTACAACTTTAATTACATAATTTAAAAGGGAAATTTAAAATAAAAATGGTGGATGCGATTAGTTGCCTACAGAAAGAAAAATAGATGGCTGCATATCCAGGTTCTCAGAATGGGGAAACTCACTCTATACTAATGTGTGCATGTATACTTGTGTATGTGTGCACTGTCTCTGTTAGTTTTGAGAGATCAGAGTTATTTTTTGGAATGTTTATTTTAATATGAATCAGTTTATAAAATGCAGTGCTCACAAACTGCTCCAAAGTTGCATACCTATGCCTTGAACGCTGCTACTACTACAACTAATGAGGATTATGGTGTTTGAAAATGCGTTAAACACTGCAAGGAAGTGAAAGGGGCTACAATGAAGGCTCTACCCAACTCTGACACAATGCATTTTTTAAAAATGTTTAAAAATAGGATAGAAACAGGAAATTTAAAGGAAGATGTTTTAACTAAGAACATCAGCAGGACAGTGATGCAAGAAAAACTGCTTACAGTCTTCAAGCAGTAGCGGTAGTTGTGGCCACCAGAGTGCCAGGGTGCTGAGGATCAGCTGCACAGCTGGCTGACGTCAGTAATGGCCTTAGAGGTTTCAGTTCACATCACGAGTCAATGGTGGTCACTCCTCGTAGCCCTCCATGGGCTGTGAGGAGGTTCAGGCAGGGGAAAACCAGGATTTATGAGGTATAAGCCCTGCTGGCAATGTTCCCCAGTGCGGTCTGGGGAGTTTACTGCATCCCACTGTAAGCCCATTTCTGCCAACTTGAAAGGCAGAGCAGGTGTGACCTGGCAGTGTGTCCCTGCCATGGACGAACCTCCGTCTTCGGCATGGCTTGTGGTTGGTTCCTCTATAATTAGGACAACTGGCGTTAATCAAGAGGCGCTCCTGGCCCGCCAATTTCAATCCTAATTCAGTGTCTTTCTTTACTGCATTTATACTTCCCACCCCCCTCCTCACTCCCCAGTGGCCTTGTAGCACCCTGCTTGTGGTTAACGCTTAGCTGGAATGAAATATTCAACGCAGCAATAGAGAAATTAAAATAATAATTTATTTGTCAGACAAATAAATGATAGGCACAGTGGTATATGGTTACCAAAAGCTCTGCCCACTCCAGCCCTGATGGCCAGCACTTATATTTCCTCAGCCCAGCCCCCTTGCTCCTCCTTTGGCTGCCTCTGTCCAATCAGCCTGGTTGAAATTCCTATTGGCTGTTTGCTAGAACCAATCATAAAAGATACACCCATTTACTATTACCTTTTATGGGAGACAAAGAGCTATATTTCCTTCTATCCATAAATGGCAGACAAGTAGCCATATATCTTACATTTACCTCAACAAGGCACCTTAATTAACATTTCACCTTTTGCCCTATTGCCCTATTCACTGCAAAACAGATGGCTAAAACAGATGGTGCATGGTTTTTATTTAATTTCATCTTAAACAGAGATCTTGGGTTCACCTTCTCACACACCATCAATGAAATAAGAATCTAACATAAGAATCTAACATTTCTTACTTTCTAAATCCTTTGCATACTTACATTTAAGCCAATATATTTCATACATTAACATATATAGCTTTTTAGAACTGAAAAGGAACTTAGTAAAAAACAGTTTCCAAAAGCAACCCCTTAAATTTACACCCCCCTTTCAAGCCAGCTGCTGTTCCTATTTCAAGCCAGCTGCTGTTCCTATTAGCTCTTGCCCTTTAACCTTAGGAAGATGTGGCTGAGTCTGATGGGAGGCACAATAATTCTTACTATTTACCAACTCTTAATTAGTGTTTTTGCAGCTTGATTGTATTCTGTAATATGTATGGTCAGTATGACCTTTTGCTCCTAGCCTGTAATTTCCTTTTACAACTTTGAAGTACTGCTATAAATCAGTGGGGCCCTGATCAAGAGGATAAACAACTGCCAAAGTACTCAGCCAGCTGCTTTTCTGCCTGGCATGAAAGATACAAACATTTGCAAATATATCTTTTTAAGCTCATTTTAAAATACAGATCTTGATCAGATGCCTCATAATACAGATCTTGATCAGATGCCTCAGCCTCCAACCTGCTGCACACGAGTCCGCAACGCAGAGACAAAACGAGACAAGCAACAACCCCCTGCTGAAAGCAAAGTATAATTAAACAATGGAAACATAAAAATAAAGAGCCATGACTGTTAAGTATATGAAACATAATGAGAACATTGTAGAACACTATAGGGTGGCTCATAACTCAATGGGAAAGTGAGCTAGGTACTATAAACGACATTCAGATGACTCAGGTGCTCAGTGCCTACTTTCGTAATATCTGAGCTGCGCCCTCACCCACTCAAGATGGGGCATCTGACAGTGGTACTTTCAGGGCAGCACAGAGGTCCAGGGCTTGTTTAAAAGTGTGGCACTTACTATAACAGCTACAGTGGTACCAGGTTACAGGCACTTCAGGTTACAGACTCCGTTAACCCAGAAATAGTACCTCGGGTTAAGAACTTTGCTTCAGGATGAGAACAGAAATCACGCGGTGGCAGCAGGAGGCCCCATTAGCTAAAGTGGTACCTCAGGTTAAGAACGGACCTCTGGAATGAATTAAGTTCTTAACCCGAGGTACCACTGTACATGATGAGTACCTGCAACTTTTCTTCTAGAATAAAAGCACTGCTCCCAAGTATTCTGGAGAGATTTGACCCACTTTGCCTTTCAACTTCCTCAGCAATTGTCCAGTAATTGGTTCAGTTACACTTATGTCTTGCATCAGGTCCTGGGTGTTACCCCACTGGGGCCCAGAGTCATTGCCCCTCTGGCCAGTTTCATGACCAATTGTCTAGGGCAGCGGTTCCCAATTGCGTAATCCACCCAAGGGCTCTGTGGCACCATTCACATAACAAAAAGTACCATAGAGATATCAACATTTTCAAAAGGCGTCCATGGCTTGGCTTTTGAAAAATGGGGGGGGGGGGAGAGAGCACAGTACTTAGCTAATTGGGAACCACTGGTCTAAGGCACAGTCATTTCTGATATCTAGAAATGTTATATCTTTGTCATTACTGGAACTCACACCTACCCAGTCTGTGTGGGAGTAACTGAAGTCACCCATTCCTACAGCCAGTGCTCCCCCACCCCCAAAAAAATGTTTAGGGGTACTCTCATTTTCCTACTCATGTTGAAATACTGCCCCTCAATGAGGCCAAACTTCACAAAATGTTTAGGGATATGCGTACCCCCAGAAAAAAGCACTGCCTACAGCACTTCCTCCTTTAGATGCCTCCCTAATTTCATTCTCCATCTCACAATCACCCTGGGGATTTTGGACAGGCAGACAGTAGTACACCCCTAGTCCTAAATTACTCTTGTGGCCTGATATCAACACCCACAAGGATTCCATGGGGGAATCTACCCTTTTTGAGATTTCTAACATGGTAGATTCTATGTTGTCTTTGACCTACAGTGTGAAACCACTCCCAGTATGCCCTTTCTGTCCCTCCTGTGGAGTTTGTCTTTAGAGAGATAACCATGTCCCACTGGTTCTCTTCCTTCCACCAAGTTTCCATTATGCCTACTATATCTGTGTTCTTTACTTTTCCAGAAACTGTCTCACCTAGACAAAAACTAATGACAATGTGAGGCAATAGAATATTTATTGATACTTAACTTTAATACTTAACCTTGAACATCTGTAAATCTAAATCTATAGGCATATCAGTGTTCAATCCCATTCAGGATATTTTGCCAAAGTAGCTGTTCCATTTAAAAACAAAACAACAGCAAAACTTTTCACCAGAGTTAGGACTTCATATGCAAAAGCCCCATTGAAATATATGGGAATTGAGTTATAGGTACAGCTCATTCTTAAGGCGCTTGTGAAGAAGTTTCCAAATAGCAAATTTCATAGATGACAGTTGGCCTTTCATCAACACTATGATTAAAACCGGCAAATACTGAAAGATAATAAAGAAAATTATATACTTACCATTAGTTAGCAAGGATAATGCTGTGAGTAAGAAATCTGGCTATGCCTTGGATTCACTTGGATCCACTTTCTGAGTGTTCAGAGGAGATTCCTACCTTAGACCCCCTGAAGAGGAACTAGGAAACATTTACATCATACTTGATTGTTGCAAAACTGTCAAACCCAAATCTTTCCTGTTTTCTGAACTGCCCTAAATGCCGTCTGACTGATATAAAAGGGAATGCATGTCTTGTTTAGCATTGTTTCAGTGTGTGCTCAGTTTCAGTAAAAAGAAAATACTTCTCTATTCTGTGAATTTTACTTCTTCGACTTAGCAATTGCTTAATGGAGTGTGTTCCCACGGTGCCTGTTGTCTCCTCAATTATTACTCTCTTGGCTTCTGAAAGTTCCAGGAACCTGAGGTCCTTTGTGGGCATGCACACAGATGCATGTGTTTTGTCTGTGAAATTGCACAGCGATACATCTTACCAAAGCAAACCTTTCAAAAATGTCCCATAAAGAGCCAAATGTTCATTAAAAAATAATAATTCTTTCTATATTTACCACTTTTGCATAAAAAAGAAGTTTCAAGAGCCGCTAAATTCTTCCAGCTCTGTTCTTTTTTGGCCAGGTTGCTTTTAACTGCTTCACCGTTTACATCATCAGGCAAGTCCTGCTGCTCGTGCCCGGAGAGCTTTCCTAGGCAAAAAAGGAGCGGGGGGGGGGGCTAAAGAAATGGGGAGATTCTTTTTCCACTCTCCACGTGTGCAGCACAGGGATCCCCCCCATCAAATAATCCATGGATTTGGGAAATCCAAATTAATTAGGCAGAAATTTCAGGCTTCCACCTGGATGTTGTGTTTAGAACATGTCAAACATGCACACACAAAACGCATCAAATCCACTTTAGACTGCCATGTGTGTACACCCTAAGAGGAAAAGAACAGCATAAAACCATATGCCACTCAAGTGTGGACACACTGCGGGTGGGGGATGGTTGTTTTAATGTGTGTAGTGACATTTTGCTGGGTGGCACCTGTGCTTCTATTTGCTCGTCACCCAAGCACAACCAAGCCATCTTGTTTCCACCAGCTCAAACTGATGTTGCGCAAAACAGATGTATTAAAACTCGAACTCAAATTGGTCCTTGCTGGGCTACGAGGCAGGAAAGGGGGAAGGAAAACAGTGTGTTTCCAAATCCTTTACCCCAAATTGCTGCCTGCCTCTTGCCTTTACTGCTTATGTTCTTCTCCAAACAGCCCTCTGGCTCTCCATGTGTGGAAGTCTGGATTTCAGCTCCTCCACACACATGGGAGGTTGATGGCAAACCCAAGGCAAGGCAGCATCCTGGGTTAGTCACTGATGACCCCTTTTCCTCTCCTAAATAACAGCAAAGAAAGAGATTTCTAGAAAATGGGCAGAGGGGACCTCTCAGGTTTCACAACTCTGAAGTCAGCGGAATAGTACAGCCCCTCAACAGGATTTCCTTCTTCCATTCAGTCATGCCTTCAGTTTTGCCTGAAATCAGAGGAATATTGCAAGCCTTGTAGAAGGCATGCCAGTTATTTTCAGCCCAGAACAGCTGGTTCTCTTCTGGCACCTTATCAGCAAAAGTAAAGCTGCCCCTGCTTGGGGGCACCAATGAAGGCCTTTGTGGGTGCCCAGGCATCCATGAGCACAGCATTGGGTGACTCCTGTCAGTTCATTTGAGGCCAGTTCATATATTTACTCAGCCTATCTGTCCTCTTTGCTTGAGGGAAGAGTGGGTTGGGTAAGTACATGAACCAGACCATAAAATCTTTTCTGCATACTTCCTAATTCTCAGGTGGATACTGTTGCATTATAGGGGGCAAGGTTTACTCCATTGTTCATTTCAGTAGATTTCCCTGTCAATATTTGTTAAAATAAGAAGATAAATGTTGCAGAAAGTTATTGAACCAAGACTGTTTATGATTTGGCGGGAAGTCAAAACCAAATGTTAAAAGGGCAGGTCATTTTGCTGCCAACACCGTCACTAAGTGCTAAGCTCTTATACCGTTAGGAATTAGCACTGAACAAGTGCCAATAAATTATTTGTTTAAAGTCATCTTAGTTTCCCTTTAATGGTGGGAGTAGTCCACTAGAACAGTATTAATAATTTCATAATTACTGAAAACATGAGTTATTGGTTAGAAATGAACTGGTCAAATTCCTATTAAGAACAATGTAACCTTTCAAATCAGGACGCGGGTGGCGCTGTGGGTTAAACCACAGAGCCTAGGACTTGCTTATCGGATGGTCGGCGGTTCGAATCCCCGTGACGGGGTGAGCTCCCGTTGCTCGGTCCCAGCTCCTGCCCACCTAGCAGTCTGAAAGCACGTCAAAGTGCAAGTAGATAAACAGGTACCGCTCCAGCGGGAAGGTAAACAGCGTTTCCGTGCGCTGCTCTGGTTCACCAGAAGCGGCTTAGTCATGCTGGCCACATGACCCAGAAGCTGTAAACCAGCTCCCTCGGCCAGTAAAGCGAGATGAGCACTGCAACCCCAGAGTCGGCCACGATTGGACCTAATGGTCAGGGGTCCCTTTACCTTTTTACACCTGCTTCTCCAAAATTGCCCAAACCAATTTTGTTGTTTTATAGCTTCTTCAGCTGTCACTACTGACAAATTTTATCTAAAACAGAGATTAAGGCTTGTTTCTGTGTTATTGGTCATACCTGAGCTGGACATGAACTTCTTTGGCACTAATAAGCTTTTCAGTTCCTTTTACATTTTAATGTGATCCTACATAATTCATTCTTCTTGAAACCACATGCTTCACTTCTCCAGTTTGCAAAATATCCTTTATCGTTTTGCATTTGTGCATAGCAGGAACAAGTGGCTTCTATGGGCCACTTCATTCTCACGGGAACAAGATCAAAGAACTATAGTTGTACTTTCCCCTCGCTCCTGCCCTGGAAACCTACTTCATGAACAAAGATGGCTTGAATTACATTTCTGAAGAATTTTTTTCTGTAATTTGGCACAAATTCAGCTGGGTGGAAAACCAGCAGTCTCCTATATATATTTAAGCTTGGTCCTTAACTTTCCAAAGGAAGTCCATTGCCTGTTGCCATCTGGTACGCAATAGACAACCATCTCCACCATGAAGCTGACAACTGTATTTCTCCTGGGCACTCTGTTGGTTTGCTGTTATTCAGGTGAGTTGCTTAGTCCATTATAACAAGACATTTTAGTCTCAATGGACCTTTAGTCTCAATAGACCTCAATGGACATTTTAGTCTCAATGGGTAAGTATGGATGCTTCCATAGGAAAGAGTTTCATACTGGACAATTTCATACTAAACAGTTTTCCTTAAATACCTAAAATTTGTAAGTCATTGTTATCCTGCTGCTCAAATTAGTTTTCAGTAGCAGTATAAAGTTGCCTAGTTGCCAGGCTTCAGGGAATCCGATCCCCCACCCTCCTGGCTGACAATCAGAAATGGGAAAACAAGAAGTTCTTACCATGGTATTTTATTCAATACTGACAGAGAGAGACGGAGGATGCTGCCTCTCAGATAATGGCGTTGCTCCAAGTAAAGTCCCACCCCTTCCGTCTCTCCTATTATACATCATCCCTGCGCCGGCTGATCTGCGCTTTCTGCCTCTGTGCTTTCTGTTCTCCTACTCTCAATGCACGCCAGGTCCTGGGAGAGGAGGGGTCAGGAATGCTGTCTAAAGACACTGAGTCTGTGAGCTGTCTCTCCCCTGGTGCTTCCTCTTCCTGCTTCTCTCCCAATATTTCTCAGCTTCTCCCCTCTCCAGCCTCTGAACTATGACCTTCTGCAAACCACTATTCTAAATCTATACTGTCCTCCTCTTCTCAGGAAGGTTCAGGAAGAGGGTGGGGCGGTCCCCACCATTCCTCCTCAGTCCAGTCCCTGACACTACCCCCAAATGCATTTCATGGGCCAGTCTCTCTCTCTCTCTCTCATATGTCCGTATGGTTGGATGGAGCCACCCTCCAAAGTCAGCTTTGCTGCAGCTTACCCTGATAGCTCTGTGGCAGGATGGGTGCACCAGCAGAGCCAATCCAGAGCTTCCATTGGCATACCCATGCGGCTCTGACCTTGCCACTCCCTACTCTACCTCATCCTAGACTCGCCCAGCTAGGATGCAGTGACACCAGTGTTAGGAGGATGGCTCTGCCCCACTCACAATTCACAATTGCTTATTAGCATCCGGTGTTGTGAGTAAATGGATCTGGGCTTATGTGCTCATTTTTGCTCGTACAGTTTTCTTTGGACATATGTGGGGGAAAAGTATTTCACCCCGCAGGTATTCTGGGTAAGACTGTTATGTTTATATGCAAAGGCTAGCCTGCACCAGCTGCTTAGTACTGGAGTTATTTAGAAGACAACTTGGTCAAAACACAGAGAGTGTCTTGCAGAGCTGTAAATAGCTCCAGTCTTTTGTTATCATTACAGTGAATCTACCTGAGAGAGAGAAAGCTAGAAGTCTCCTACCCCAAGGGTGACCCCAAAAGATAGGGTTGGGAAAGAATAAGGATGCGCACACATGTAGTCTTTGAAACTACACAGGGGTTGGTTTTTTTGTACACAGCAGTTTCCAATTGTACATACCTTAATGCAATAACATCATACAAAGCTGCAGCTACTACCCCTGTTGTCTGTAGACACAGGTGGGCTTGTTTTCAAACTTGTGTGCAATGACATTCTCTATTTCGCTCAGTGTTGGAACAGACCATATACCGTATATACTCGAGTATAAGCAGACCCGAATATAAGCCGAAGCACCTAATTTTACCACAAAAAACTGGGAAAACTTATTGATTCGAGTGTAAGTCGTTTCACCACACCAGAGGCTGGTGGCAGCAGTGGCCTCCGCCCTGAAAGGGCTGCTTTCGGGCTGCTCGTTCCTCCTCCTCTGCCGCCAACAGCGGCAAAGGCGGCGGAGGAGGAAGGAGCAGCCCGAAAGGACCCTCACTCGAGTATTACCTGAGGGGGGCTTTTTCAGCATAAAAAATGTGCTGAAAATGTCGGCTTATACTCGAGTATATACAGTATACACATAATAGCCTTTCAAAAGAGGGGATGGAAACCAGTGTGTTGATATGCTACGGATATATTATAGTATACAGAGGAGGCCAAATGACTGCACTGTTTCTTATTTTGCCTATTTCATTCAAAGACAAGTTAAATATGATGAGGGCTAGTGGCACAGCCCTGCAATGTCCGTAGGGCTTCCCCAATAGGAGGAGGAGACCTGAGAAAGTGCTCTCTGTGTATGCATGTAGGCAGCAAGCACTTGAGAAGTGCATTATCGGTGCAGAACGGATTATAACTGTTCCAGCAGAATGTGTTTTAGATCAATGAATAATTTGGGACAGGGATGACATGGCACCTGTATCCAGCACTGAATGTACATAATCATGCCATGTGTGCACACCCAAAAAAGAATAGGCGAATTCTGTGTGAGAGTCTCAAGAGGATTTTGGTGGTATGGTGAGGAGGTTAAGAAGACTGGTGCCTGGATCTATTTCTGGAACTATTTCTGGAATAGAAGATCAAATGTCTCCTGGACACCCAGCCTCCCACCCCAAGTTCCAATTTATGGACATGACTGAAATAATAAAATCCTTGTCATTCAGGGTCATGGAATCTGGCATGCTG